AAGTATCAATTTCTTATTAAAAGCTACGACTTTTGATCTACAAAGCTGATGAGAGTTTTGATTACATAGAGCAATAGACACAAACAACCCCGGTTTCCACGTCCTCGATTCCCACGTCCAACGGCATTGGAGGATGATTGCATCTCCTTTGCTTTGATGGACGGTTTTACCGGTCTTTCGCGAGGTAATCTTTGTCCGGAGGGAGTCATAATTCAATATCCGAATAGTGGGGATCCTCAACTATCTCCGAAGATTCCCAATCGAAGCTTCAATAACCATTGCAGTTTGATCCTATAAGGCAGAATTTGCAAGCGATACAATTTTGTTTTTGGCTGTTTTTCTCTTTGTCGATTCTGGATCTTTACCAAAAGTTCTGAAATTTCCAAAATGTAATTTCAATTATTCAACCGTTACGTCATAGAGACGCACCAAAATTTTTAAGGACCAAAAGCACTCACCTCATCCTGTTTATCTCTCAAATTTATTCAGGGGTAAGAATCTCATCTAGATGTTTTACTGTAAAGCTCATGCTCGTTAGATTTCGATTATGTTTATGGTTTCATATTTAGATGCGTCTAGCTTATTCAGTCTTTGGGCTGTGAATATTATGGTTCTCAGGAGTGATTGCTCTGTGCAACTAACTCGTGTTGTGATGCAATTAGGAGCTGAAGTTAAGGCCGGGAAGCCTCTTACAGTGAAGCATGATCAATGTTTCTCAGGTTATTTTCAAACGCCAATGAGAATTTCTAATGTTTGAGGAATTAGTTAATTAATCTCTTGATTTTTTTCCGCCTATATAAGGAGTTTGATTACTCTTTTGGTGAGTCTCAAAATACATTTTGTCTTGTTATCTCTCTCTGATCTTTTATACATTGGCGTGGTTGCTATGATATATCTTATCTAAAGATGAAGAGGAGGAAGTGGAGGTCCCTGCAACTGTCACTACCAATGGTATGTACTATAGATGCATACTTCTATCTTTGTTTCTTCACCTGAAACAAGATATTGTTATCTCAAATGTTCATTTTTCATTGTATTTCAGGACATTTTGGAGATGTTGTCAAGGCTGACTCAAAACCAAAGGCCAAGCCTCTAGAAGTGAAGCCTGAATCAAACTTT